ACATACCAAGCCTGGGAAAAACCTCAGGTGCTCACGTTTCTGGCAGATGCCTATGAAAGGTGTGTAACATTTTTCTCCAATCTTCAAAGAATTTTATGTCAAGTTATAGATTTATCATGAAGCACACATTATTGCCTGTTTTCCGAAATCACTTTTATGGTCTTAATCACTGTGAATATCGAGCAAGAATTTTCACCATAAGTCAGGATGAATTTTCACCATAGATTTTAGTCATGGGAAGGGTCAGGTAATGATAGGTTTACAAAAACGCAACATAAGAACAACAACAAAAGTCAAGCTCATAGAAACAGACAGTAGAAAGGTGGTTACCCAGGGCTGGGCTGGGGGGAGATGGGGAGCGACTGGTCAGTTGCAGATGGATAGGCTCTTGAGGATCGAATGTACTGTATGGTGACAGTAAGTAAGAATATTGTTTTGTACACTTGAGTTTTGCTAAGACAGTGGATCTTTAGCATTCTCACCACAACAGAGTAAGAATTACTGATCACTATGTGATGTGGTGGATGTATTAATAACCCAACTGTGGTCATCGTCTCACAAAGTATGCGTATATCAAATCATCATGCTGTACACTTAATATACAATCTTATTTGCCAAGGATACCTCAATAAAGCAAAGAGGCTCCTAAGTTTAATGGCCATGAACAGGGCTTAGAAGGCAGAGCAGCTTCTTTCAAATTCTTACTCTGATGAGCCCCCAAAATATAACCTTGAGTAAAAACACCTGGCTGTTTGCCCAATTTCCTTCATTGACCCACTTGCCTTTAGATCTAGCGAGACAAATGAAGGAGGATAAACAATGAAATCCATCACAGCGATATCAAAAGTGTTCTCGGCAAGGGCCACGCTGAGGTCCCTGCGTGGACAGCAGGCAGCCTGGCCACATGGAGGTGTGGCTGGGCAGCAGTAAATGGGTCCACAAAAGCATGCTGCTCTACAGAGAAGCCTGACGATAAAAATGAGAGGGACACCGCGGTGACAGTTATAGGAAAGACGTTTAATCGGGCTTTTCCTTAGTTTTTTAATTACTGGAAGATCCTGCGACATAACTATGAATTTAAAGGAGGAGCCCAAGAGAAAGACCATGGAAACGGGAGATGGAAAAGTGACGGAGAAATCCTCCGACAGGTGGCAGTTAGTAGACTCTAGAGAGGACGGAGGAGAATTTAGCTTCAGGAGGGAAACAAATACATTTTCAGGCTGGAACAAAGGCTGTGAATAAATAGGAAAAAACTTTAACAGTTTGTTGTTGATTTTGTCTGTTAGGTGGAAGCCGAAGGCATGCAAGCCTGGAAACTTACTTTGTGAAGCTGAAGGCAAGAGAAACTGCTAAGGGAGATTTAATATTGCGTGTGGGGTCATTTACATAAAAAGTCGATAATGACGCCAGGCACAGACCTTACTGGAAAATCAGACTTACCTTGAACCATCTGGATGTATAGCTCATTTTCTAGGGAGGAATATCACCTTCTTAAATAGCAGGCTACCCCATGTCCTAATATTTAACCCAAGAATGGTCTAAGCAACGAATAAGCACCGTTTGGGAACGAGTTAATTTTGATCTACCAATTTATGCCCCCTAACACAAAGTAAGCAATATGTTTTTGAAATATCATTTACTACCTCAGTTATGACAGAACTGTTGGTTTCTGGCAGTTACCTGCAGCACCCATTAAAATGATCTGGTTCCACACTACCCATTAGACACGGTCCATGACACACTCTATCCAAGAGGCACAAAAATTATGGACATCAGACGTTCAAACGCAAGAGGCCAAGGATTGAGAAAACATTCAGTGCAATTTCCAGTAATCGTTCCATCGTAACTGAAGTGAAACAATGATAAACATATTGGCTGAGCCTCACTTAGTAAAGGACTATCCATCTGCTAATATTTTCCCTATGCCTTCTGATTTCAAGGAGTAAAAATACCTTGAAAGGTCTCCTGGTAGTATGTAACAGAATTAATTCACTGTTTTATAAATAAAACTAATTAAAATGACATTTTATCCTTCTGTTGTCCGTTACTCATTTCTTGCAACCACGTTTAATAGCTACCCTTTGTGGAGTAATGTTTATTAAATAATTCCAGGATATGTGGAATATTATATCCTCCCAAGTGTTTCAACAGGAAAGACAAAAAGTTCAAGATGATTTATCAGTAACCCAGGTATATCATTTTCTCAAGCAGAAACATCCTACAGTCTTTTACTCTATTAAATTATTTTCCTTTCAAATCAATTAACACCAAATTCAAGGGATGTATTTCCAGTGGTTCCAAATGCAATGGACTGTTAAAACGTGCAGATTTGGCCCGGCTTTGGAACTGCTCACAGGGCAGAGTAATGTAGCACCTGTGGCCATATTGCAAAATCAGATGTGAAAATTCAGAAAACTGAAATAAATGCAAATCTTTTACTCAAAGTCATATGAGAAGAGAAGGGAGAACTGAGCAAGCTTCCTCGGAGACTGTTCCCTGTGCAGTCAGTCCCAAGGCACGAGATAGCAAAGACAAGCCTACTGTCCCTCCCTCCACAGGCAAGGGATTGAGCAAATTCGGAGCATATTCCATAAGTACTTCTTCAAAGTATATATGCAGTGATACAACAGGCCAGAAATATACATACATAAACATGTTGAAATAAATATGAAATCAAGATTTTCTAGAGAAGACGACCTGACGGGATTTGAGTTAATCATTTATCAGCCTTTGTGATATATTCCTGAGTAATAGAAAAGCTTCTTAAAATCTGGGAAATAGCCAATTACCTTGAAATTAAAAAAAAAAAAAAAACTAGATATAATTCTGAGTTATAGAACATCAGCGTTTGAATATGGAACAAGTTAGAAAATATTTTTAAAATTAGATAATGTGGAATGAAAAATCAAAATGTATATATGTGAGATGCTCAACAATCACTAAAATAAAGTAAGGAAAAGAAAATTCTCAGTGGACAAATGGTGTAATTACAATGTATATTCCACATAATTAAATACATGTGTAATTATATATCAATACAAAAAATTATAGTGCACTAAAATTTTATTTTGGGGGGAGCCAAAACATTTAGATTTGACTTGTTATTCTATAACAGAAACTCTCTGATAACTGATTTCTTCTTATAAAAAAATAAGGATCATATATTAAGTATACTGCTCACATCATAGCAATGCTCTGTAAAACTTCCAGGAAACTCCAAAACCCTATCCAACTGCATGCTGGAAATTGTAAAAATACTGAGACTTTCTTTGTATAAATTTTGAGAACTTCTTGCAGAAATTCATCATTTTTGATCCACCCAATTCCTAAAATATACTGGGTTTAGATGATTTCTATTTCATACTTGAAATTCTAAGAAAGTGCCCATTGTCTTGCTTAGTGATGAACAGGGTGGATCCTCATCATTCACAGGCTCCACCTTCGCGAATTTTTCTGTTGGCTGAATTTTTCTGTAATACCACAAGGAATCCTTGGGCTCCACTTCCACGGTTGTTTGCACACATGAGCAGAGTGGGGAGAATTCTCGTCCACCAGTGCACACATTTGCAACAGAGATCCCACAAGCCAATGCCGGGCCTTCTTGTTTCACCGTCAGTGCAAAGTCTTCATTGTGGTCTAAATTATTTAGTGCCATGTTTTTCACATATTCATTCTGCCCTGGACTTTATAAATTATCCGGTCCTAGCATAAGACTGATATTTTATATCTACAGGCTACATGAGTGTCAAATGCATATTAGCTAAATTAGTTTAAAAAAAAAAAACCTAAGCATGTGTTGCATGGAGCACTGGGTGTTATTCGAAAACAATGAATCATGGAACACTACATCAAAAACTAATGATGTACTGTATGGAGACTAACATAACATAATAAAATAAAACTAAATTAAAAAATAAAATAGCATTTTCAAAAACAAAAAAAAATAAAAGTAATTATTCTATTCTTGCTTAATCTACTAATCACATTTCTCAGTGGTGCCCTTATTTGGCTTGCTCTTGTTTTTGCCATACCCTATAATGTAAAATGTCCTTTTGTTCACGGTGTAGCACCTAGAACAAAGTGGTTATTCAACAAATATTCAAAAGAACGAATAAGCTGTAATTTCCTCAAGGGCAGGAATTCTGTTAAAAACAGTAATCAATAAACATTAATTAAATGATCAGTAAATGAAGGTCACTGCAGAACATAAATGTCAGAAATACAACTTTGTACCTGATGTGAGAAAAGGGTCACTGCACAACCATGACCATGTGAATCTGGAAACTATAGATTTAACTCTGTGATCACACATGAAATAAAACCAGCTTTTCTTTCTCAGTCTGCCAAAGAAAAGCAATATAATCAGAGGATGAGATGTGCATGTTTTCTAAAAATCCTGCATAATTTCTTAAAATCTTCGTTAGAGATAAACGCACCAGAAAAAAATCCCAAATCTCAATTCCAAAATAATTAAAGTATGTTGCGAGGATCAATGTCAGGGTCTAAACTATAATTGAAAACCACAGCAACAAATAACTCTAGTGAGTTTTATACCTAAACTTTTCATTTTCTTGTAAAGAAATGTTGTAGACACTGCTTTACTAGATGTGAGCAAGAGAGTAAGATTCAATAGATGCCATATCTCATTACTGTATGCCTAACTGGCTAAAAATTAAGAGAATGGATTGAAAGAAACACCATGTATGTAGCCATTTTAGTTAGGACTCACTTGCAAAGTATTAAGGCACATAATTTCCCAGAAAAAAAGCCAGGGGAGTAGAGCTTCACATGACATCTGCACAATTTGTTTTATGAACTCTGTGACCCACAACCTTAGTCTCTAATTATCTTGTAACTCCAGGAAAATAAAGGATGACATACATACACATTTTTTTTATCAACCAAAGTGTTACATATTGTGAAATATTAATAGTTAAATATATAGCCTTTTATATGCTGTCAAATCTCCAAATGGTAATAAACTAAATTGCTTTACTTACTAGTACAAGCAGCAGGACAATATCAGGGTTATCACAAGCACAGGCGATGTGCATTGGTGTCCAAAAGTCTTCATCCTGGTGGTTGACATTGACCCCCCTGTCAATCAGGATCTCGGCAATGAAGGCATTATCATACCGAGCGCACTGAAAGAAAGAACAACAACAAAAAAAAGGAATGTATTTCAAACTATGATAAGGTTTATTGCAAATGTCCAGGGATAAAAATTTCAATGCCAATTTAGAGATTGAGAGATGGGGCTAACTGTTCTCCAGCTATCTGACAAGCTAAGGGGCATATGGAGGATGGAGGACTCAAGGGAAATGGCATCCATACACAGTAGAAATAAAAATGAGAAAATAGGGACAGACATTATTAAGAAGGAGGAAAAAGTTTCACTATTTGGGTCCTCCACATTTGTAGATAGGATTACCAGAAAATCTTGGACCATTTATCAGAATTATCTTTCTGAAATACAGATTTGATCATATGATCCTTCTGCTTTAAAATGTACATATTTCGTCACTGAATTTTTCAAAGAATAAAGTTTCACCACCTTATGGCATCCAAGACCGATGAAGACCCTTTGTGGTCCTTCTAAACTCATCCCCCATCATCCAAATGCAGCCTTCAGCCTAGCTGTATAAGACAACTAAAAACTCCATGGTGCCATCTTGGAACAGTTAACTATTGTAATTTCAAAATCTTCTAACATGAATTTTAATCATTGTATTTTATAGAAATTTCATAATCTACTAAATCAAACTCTCCAGGGACTTGTTCTGCTCTTACTTTTTATATATTATTTATAGGTAAAATTCATAAAAATATTTGAAGTCAGGGCTGGCTCCAAGGGTGCACAATCTCTGTAAGTCATGCTTAGGTGGGTCCTGCACTTGGTTTAAGTCTCTACTGTTGCCATGATGAATTTTCGATAATTACTGAAGAGTCCCACATATTCATTCTGCCCTGGACCTTATAAATTATCCAGTCCTAGTATAAGACTGATATTTTATATCTACAGGCTACATGAGTGTCAAATGCATATTACCTAATTAGTTAAAAAAAGAAAAAAAAGACCTATGCTAAATAACCTAACTACCTATTAGCAAAATTTCTGGGTTGAAAGATACATGCTTTCCGTGGGATGTGGATGCATCAGACAGGTTCCCCTCCCAAAAAGCAGTAATCGATACTGCCACTGGCAGTACCATCATGCCAATGTGTCAACAATTCCCTGCATCAATTAAAAACAAATCACCCGAGGACTTCCCTATCAAGTAACAGGGACCAGATTGGCATTTCTGCCTGAATCAATTGAAATGAAAACAAAAACACTCAGACAAAATATGACTTTGGAGAGCTGGGGAGGGAACAAGGCAGTCCTGCTGCTGCTATTGCTCCAGCTCACTGCCCTGAGGGACTTCCCAAGCTGCCGCCGCACAGCAAGAAAAACACCCCGGGCCACTCAAGAGGGGACTGAACTGAAAGTCCAGAGACCAAGCTGGCCAGCATGCACCAGACAGAGCCACAGAGAGGACAGAGCTGCAGAGAGAGAGAGGACTTCAAAGATCTTCGGTCGGTCCCCTCATGTATGCAGAAAAATCATGATCGGCACACACACACACACACACACACACACACACACACTCACTCTAGGAATCTACTCAAGGCCAGGAACAGAAGCCCCTGAAAAAGAAGAGGAGTCAGAGCTCATGAATTGCCAGAAAGAGTGTCTGTTTCCAGCAACCAGGAAGGAGGTCTTCTAATCAATGCAGCACTGGGTGGAGTACCAGACATGTCTTGCTTCAGTGCGGGGGTGGAAGGGGGGATATGAGCCCTGAGCTGGAAGCTGCTCTACTCCCACCTAGAAATACTAAACTCAAGTTCTGAAAGCCTCAAACCACGTAACTTCAATGCCCCCCAAACAGAGTTCAAGATTACTTACAGAAATATAAAAATATTCATTACCCAAACAAGGCAAAATTCACTACGTCTAGCATCCAAGGAAAAATGACCAGATATACAAGACAGCAAGCAAATAGGACCCACAAGGAGGAGAAGGAGTGATCAATGGGAGCCAACTTAGAAGTGATACGCTTGTTAGAATGAACAAACCTGCGTGTTAAAAGTGTTACGATAACTACATTCCATATGTTCAAAAAATTGGGCAACTGTTGAACGTGGTAAGCAGAAGCATGGAAGACAGCAAAGAGACTCAAATTTAACTCCTGGAGATGAGAACTACCTTGGCTGCGGTGAAAAATATACCAAGGGATGGGATCAACGATGGACTGGCTCTTGCAGAAGATAAGACTGGTGAACCTGAAGACGGTAACGTAGATTACACAAAGTGAGACAGAGCAAAAGAGGACTTTCAATAAGTGAACGGAGCATTGGTGAGCCATGGGCAATCTCCAGACAGTAACCAAACAAACTGATAGCCCTGGAAATGGGGACTACATGGATTGATTTATATTTTTCCTATTATTTAATTTGCATTAAAATTAGTAATTACAAGATAGCCCAATTTTTAAAATTAGGTACAAGATTTGAACTGATACTTCACCAAAGACAGAAAAAAGAAGACACATGACTTGTGGTTCCCAATCATAATACAGTCATGGAAGAACATTCCTATCTTCTTCTAGTACCTGGTGGTCTCAAGAACGTATGGTCAGCGTGGTGCAAAATCATGGTACAGGTTCCATATGAAGGAATACAAGCAGAGGTTGTCAGTATTGGGGTGCATGGAAGCACCTGGGGCAATGGTGCACATGAACTCGGAAGGATTGGTTTCAGTTTTGAGCCATGACCTTTGCCTAAGTGATGTACTGCATCACGTGCAACAATAGCGAGGACGCTGTGACCCAGAGCCCCATCTACTGTAGCTGCAGGTTTGGGTACAATGACTAATAAGATGAGGATCAGAGTATAAAAGACTCAATAAATAGGATTTAGAATTGGGGCCTGGATCCAATTTCTTTCAGGAAACTCACATGCAGGTAATGCCTATTCCACCCTCTTTATCTTTCTGATAACTCACTGCATGATCAACAGTGATGTGACCTCCTCCTTCCCTGTCTGTCAAGATCTCCCCAGCCCGCACCTCAGGAATCCACATTTACAATTCAAAGATGCCTACAGTTTGGCTTTTCCGTGTCTTTCACCAAAAAAGAGTTAATTAGATACAGCGTGGAAAATGATATCAGCCTCTCAAGTAATGGAATTTTTAGATTCACATTTCAGAGGATCATGAATAATAATTTGACAGCAATAAATACCTTCTAATCACACTTGTCTGAAAAGATTACAATGGTTGAACATTCCTGTTACAATGTTCTTACAACATTATTGTTAGATAGTAAACCTCATTTTCACTGGAAAGAATTTTCTCCCAGCTAGCAAATCTTCCTTCCCCATTCAGACTGTTCTTCATCCAACTTCAACCAATTTCTGGCAAGAGTTTACAGCAGCAAGAAGGGGGCTGAACCGCCACTCGGTCACCTTCAGAGAGCTCTGACACCACTAGTCATCTCCCCTGGCTCCTCCCGTCACCGCCCTCTGCCTCTCCAAGGTCCAGGCAAGACGGGCTACATAATTTGTGGGACCCAGTGTAAAATGAAAAAGTGGGGCCCCTTATTCAAAAATGACCAAGAATTTGGGGGCATCTGGGTGGCTCCGTCGGTTAAGTATCCGACTCTTATTTTAGCTCAGGTCATGATCTCAGGATCGTGAGATTGAGCCCCAAGTCGGGCTCTGTGTTGGGTGTGGAGTCTGCTTAATATTCTCTCTCCCCCTCGGCCCCTCCCCCCACACCGTCTCTGTCTCCCTCTCTCTCTCTCTCTCTCAAATAAATAAATACATCTTTTTAAAAAATGACTGAGAATTTTAAGATGGTGACAGCAGAGGAGGAAACCAAGCATGGGCCCTGCAGAGCACAAAGCCTGGAGTGACCACATGGACCATGTGCCCGTGAAGCCCGCCTTGAACTGCCAAACCTCTTAATCAACCAGCCCCCCAGGTCCCTCAAGTCCACACACTGCACTTCCTTCCAGGGAACCTCTGGACCCTAGTCCATTTCAAATAAACCCTCCTCACCTAGGAATGTCCACAGAACCTAAATCTATCTGTCTGGAAATACTATCTCTGCTGAAGCCTCCTCCACTGAGTAGGTAAAATTCTTCTCCCATCAGGCCCTGGAAAAGCTTGGCCACTTTCTGAGCTTATTGACTTTTTTTTTTCTTTTTTCTTAAGTAAGCTTTACACCCAACGTGGGGCTTGAACTCATGACCGAGAGATCAAGAGCCCCATGCTCCACCAGTTGAGCCAGCCAGGCACCCCTGAGCTTACTGATTCTTTTAGAGTCATCATTTGTTCACCTCAATTTGCTACTTTCTAAGATTCACTCTTCTCCCAAGAGGGTCGCTCTCCCCTTTCATCAAAGTTAGGGACTACAATCACGGTCATCGCCACAGTCTGAGCACAACAGCAATATTGGGTTACCCACCTTCTCTGAAAGCATAAAATGTCTTCCCTCCAGGACCCCAGAAACCTCCACCATGTTTTACTTATTTACCACCCCCTGGCTTGCCCCCATGAAGACTGGCTCCCTGTTAAAGTACTAAATCCCAATATCCCAACCCATGATCAAAACATTCCATTCTGCCTCCTAAGGCATACTTAGAGAGCAACACCACAAATAGCTCCTTCCTCCAAGACTGTTTATTGAGTTGCCTAGGATTAGTGAGAACCAACACTCTCCACACTAACTCAGCGGTCCACAGCTTCTCAGGGAATACATTCTTTCACTGTTTGGAATTGTTTCTAAACAAAGGTAACGTCTCTCGATGTACAAACCCAATACAATGCGTAGTATTGATTCAGCTGAAAAGACCCTAAAAACCATAGAAACCAAATAACAAATACAGACAATTTTAAACTTAAAATGTTCTGTCTTTTCCCTACCTTTTGTCATAAGGGATATTTTATGTATTTTAGTTCTTCTGGTTGGCTAATGAGCATGTCTTGAGCAACCCTGAAATCTATCACTCAGAAAATCAAAAGCTGAATTCCCACATTAAATTCACTGGTTCATACATGAAAGTTCTTTTGCAAGTTTTTTTTTTCTTTTTTTAAACGTGGG